ATGTCTGAAAATGATGTATTTATCTTTTCTAAAAGTTGATTATAATCTACAGCCAGAATGCAGATAATATTTGACTCACCGTTATGCATTTATAAAACATATACAGATAATAGGAATGAAACAAATGGAGATTATTCATAAGATAAAATGGAAATTGTAATGTTTTCTTTCTCTACTATAGTGACTCATTGTGCATGTCTCTTGGAGTATGTGTCCTACTTTGGAAATAGTCTAACTTATTGGTGTCCAGTCAAATTTATCAATTTCCCAGCCCTATGATACTGCACTGTGTCACTTAGATGTTGAATATGACTTTTCCTGTTGTCTGAGCACTAGCTATTAGGGTCAGATTAACCAAAGAGGTGCTTAGTATCCCATGTATAAGGGAATGTTCACCTGCCAAAGCCACACATTTCCTGAAGACATAGATGAAAGAAATGTCAGAAGCTGCCCGGCTGCCATTACCATTCCAGAATGTACAGTTATGTGAGAAGGTTTTCCTGTCACCGCCCTGCACTGTCTTCATCTTATAGTAGATCTTGACTGTAGCCGGAGGGAGCTTATAAGCTATAAGAGAAGGTGTCTTATCCTCTGGCCAGGAACTTTGTGCAGGTAGGAGGTTGCTGTGCTTGCTCAGGCCAGCAGGTTGTGAAGGATTGAAGCCATGTGATTGGGAAGGCCATGGGGAGACTTCCTACCACATTTAACAGCCTCGGAGTTCCCTGGGTGTGCAAACCTAAAGTTCGTGTCCACCCAGAGACGCTTCAGAAGAAAGACCTGGCAATCTTCTGAAAAGTCAGCCATTGAAAACCCTATGAATCACAATTCTACTCTGACACACATTTGTTGAGCGCTGTCAAGTCGACTCCGACCCATAGCGACCCAGGATAGGGTTTCCAAGGAGCAGCTGGTGAATTTGAACCACCAACCTTGCAGTTCAAATGGCTTTGCAGTCTGGCACATGAACCCACATCGCCACACCAGGACTCCTAGGGTCCCCATAAGTTAAAATCGCATCGAGAGCAACTGGTACCAATCTGAAAGAGCCTGGTGGTGCTGTAGTGTAAGCACTGCACTACTAACTACAGGTTCAGCGTTTCAAACCTACCAGCTGCTCCTAGGGAGAAAGATGCGTTTGTCTATGTCCATAAAGCTTTACCTCCTCGAAAACCCTGCATAGGGTCACGGTAGGTCATTGGTGGCAGTGGCTGGGATACCAATCTCTTGATTCTTGGAAGGCAGGCTGCTCTCTACCATCCTCAAAGATGTCTCTGACTCACTTTCAGGAGGATATTGGCTTTCTAGACAAACACAGCCTCCTGCCTGATCATCCTCTGATCAAAGGCCTTCAAAGAGATTGCCGACTTCCTGTTAGTAGGGCATTAGTGTTCTGGACAAACACAGCATCCTGCCTGGTCATCCAATGATCAGTGGCATAGATTTCAATGACAGTTGGCCAAAGTGATGAGTGCCATGGACTTGGGCACAGAGTGGAGGTAGTTGACCTGTGTCATATTTGAACTTGTTGACTTTCTGATGAAAGGATTACCCAGATGCTCCTGTCTTCAGTGACACAGTCATGCTGTTGTACATAACAGAAGTCAAATATTTGTCTTACTTTGTAGCGTATTCATTTTCAACTAATATTACATGTTTTGAGCACAGGGTTACTATATAATAGATTAATTTATGCAGGCAAGTCAAAAAATATTGCTACAAAATCAAAGAAACCTTTATCAACCTAAAATATCAAAATGTGAAGCTATAAATCTCTCAACAATATTCTCCATCCAGGTCCATACACTTCTGAAGATGGTGTTTCCATCTCTAACCTTTCTTGGAAGAATTCTGTGTTCTTCGATTCACACCACATCAAAGCAGCAGTTTTGGCATCCTGTTGTTATATACCATTGAACTGGTTCCTACTCAGAGTGATCCTGTATAGGGTTTCCGTGAGTGACTGGTGGGATTGAACTGCTGACCTTGCAATTACCAGTTCGGTGCTTATCCTACAGCATTACACCAGAGCTGATTTTTGATATTCTGGGGGGATTCAAATTACATTTTTTGAGTTTGGGAATAAAAAGTAGTCTAAAGGGGCAAAATTAAGGCTGTAAGGTTCTGGTAGGAAGTTTTCATAAGAGAGCCCTTGCTAACCCTCAAAGAATGAGCAAGTGTATTGTGATGGGAAAAATTCCTATTCTCCATGCAATTTTCCTGGTCTTTTTCTTACCAGTGCAGTTTTCAATTTTTTAAAAAAACTTCATAATGAACCCTCATGATCGTCCTTGTGGCCTTTCAGGAAAATCTATCAAGATTACCCCTTTGGAGTCACACACACACGGTTGGCATACCTTCTGAGCTGACCCCTCTGCTTTGAATTTAACTGGCTCAGCAGATCTCATTGGAGGCCACTGCTTTGATAAGACCTTTTTAAAATTCAAAGCACCCTTGTCTCTGTAGTATCATCAGTCGACTATGAGACATAAAGTTAGCAGTTTGAGTCCACCAGCTCCTGGGATATTGTGGTCTCAGTTCTAGACCCCACAATAAAGCAAACATTACAGTAAAACAAGTCACATGATTTTTTTTTGTTTTAGAACATATAAAAGTTATGTTTACATTATACTATAGCTATGGGTTAGTGCACTGGACCACAAGGTCGTCTTGGACCATAAGGTTGAAAGTTCAAGCTCACCAGCCACTCCTCAGAAACCATACACAGAGTCGCTGTGAGTCAGAACAAACTCAATGGCACATAACAACAACATAGTTTATTAAACTGTGCAATAAGCATTGTAAAACAATTTGAAAAATATCTTGAGAATTATCAAAATGTGACACAGAGACTCAAAATGAGCACTTGCTGTTAGGAAAATGGTGTCCATAAACTTGCTTAACATAGAGTTACCAGAACCTTCAATTTGTAAACAATGCAATATCCATGAGGCACAGTAAAACAAGGTATACCTGTACACCGCCCCTCCTCCTGAAGGAGTGCCTGGTCTATCAACATCTGATCCAAGGTAGAGCTCTGCCAAATAACATTTAACTAATGACATGTTCCCCAAAAGCCTTGAAAGGTTGAAGACATTCTACTTACAGAGTAGAGTTGAATAAAATCTCATTGATAGTTGTGTAGAGAGAGATTATATTAGTGTAATCCATTAACTGTAGAATATATTTTATTTCAGGTATAGAGGAAATACTTGAATTGTTAGCATTTTTGCTGAGGAGGACAGTGTTGGTTCAGTGATAGAATTTTTACCTTTTATGTGGGAGACCCAGAGTCCAGGTGTGGTGTTATAGGATCAGCACTGGACTGCAAGGTCAGTGGGTCAAACCCATTAGCCACTCCTTGGACAATCCATACGGGATCACTGTGAATCAGAACCAACTTGACAGCACTCAACAACACCATCATATGTGGGAGGCCCCAGTTTGATTCCAGACCTAATGTACCTGAAGTGCAGCCACTACCTGTCAATGTAGGTTGGTGGTTGCTGTGATGCCAAACATGTTTCGATGGCACTTCCAGACAAGATTTATGGATCACAATGATCTGATACTGTTGTGTGGGGGGCTGCCATGAGTCAGGGGCCAGTTGATGGCAGCTAATTACAGCAATTCTTGCCAAATAGAAGCTCTAAAAGTTTGTTTTAATGAAAAACTAATACATTTATGGTTTGCTGATTAACTGTATGAGTAAACTACTATGTAACTTACATAGAGACTAAAATGCTGCTTTCATATATTTAAAATCTTTAAAGACCTTCTTGAAATCTCAGTTTAATAAATTCTTAGCTTAGCAAATATTATTTGTGAAGCTTATGCTGGGGATGCAAAGGTAAATAAGATACAGGTCCTGGCCTTCAAGAACTCACTGTGAAGCAGCATTTTCCAAACTATGAAACGTATCACTAGTGGTATGACACATGACATTGCTAATTATAACTAGCCATCAGACATATAATTTAATGCGTAGAGTCGCTATGAGTCGGTATTGACTTGATGGCACCTAACAACAACAACAACAATTACTGAGGGAAAAATGAAAGTAGATACTTTAAGATAGAGAAATGAGTTGTTTTGTGGAAAATATATGAGTAGTAATTCAGGTCCTTTTTCATTATCAACAATTTGCAAAGGGCAGTACTCAAATGAGTGCCATCAAGGGAACTGTGTCCGTAATGGCAGCGCAAAGGACAAAGGATGAATGGATTACTTTTGACTAAGGGGAGCCCAAGAACTTAATCATTAAAAGTAAGTTTTAGCTTTATTTTCAGTGGAGTCCAAATTAATCAGATTTTAATGAAAATTTGTTTTCTTAAACATTGAATTTCAAAATAGCATTAATTGAATAACTATTTTTAGTTTGTGCAAAGATGTATTTTCTAGAATATTTCCTGCAGTACGGTTGTTATTACTAAGTGCCATTGGGTGGATTCTGACTCCTAACAACCCTGTATAGGGTTTTCAAGGAGCAACTGATGGGTTTGAACTACAGACTTTGTGATTAGCAGTCCAGTGCTTATCCTATAGCACCAAAAATGACATGAGTGTTCAGCAGTGGGCAAAGGCCCAGCAGTACATTTAATACAGAATGGTAGTATGCAGCTGTTACAAATGGTAGTTCGCTCTTTTGTTGGTGAGATTTCAGCTTTTATTTTGCATACCTGTAGGTTCTGATTTGAGGAGTCCTGCTGGTGCTGTAGGGTAAGCATTGCACCCGTAATCACATGGCAGTTCAAACCCACCAGCTGCTTCATGGGAGGTAGATGAGCCTTTCTGCTCCCATAAAGATTTACAGCCTCAGAAACCCTATATAGTGCCGCTATTTGTCGGAATTCACTTGATGCCAGTGGGTTTGTTTTGGGGGCTTATGCGCTAATTTTTATTAAATAAACATATAATTTATAGAAGTAGAGACATTCACATTTCATTTTCATAGAGAATACTGTACTTTTCTGATTCTGCTATGATTTTTCTTCCAGGTGTGGGGGCACAGTTGGTGCTATCTTTACTTGTCCACTAGAAGTCATTAAGACAAGGCTGCAATCTTCAAGACTTGCTCTTGGGACAGTCTATTATCCTCAGGTTCATCTGGGGACCATTAGTGGAGCTGGAATGGTGAGACCAACATCTGTTACACCTGGACTCCTACAGGTTCTGAAGTAAGTTCAGTCCCTTCCAGAGCTCTTTGTCATCGCTCCTCATACCCCACCCCCATGTCCCATACAAAATGTTTGTTAAGCACATCCGATGAGTCCCTCTGTTTGCAGAGTGTATCCAAACTTAAGAATTAGGTTTCTTTACCAATACCATTGAACTCTGACCTTTCTCCCTTAGCAAACGGGGGTCATGTTGTACATGTGATCATCATCCAGACAGTTAAAGTAAACCTAACAGAGCAGACAGGAAGTCCTCAGTGAAATTATTGCATCAGTTGTCCTTCTTAGTAAGAAGATAATCTTATTCTACTACAGTAAAACTTCAAAGAAATTTTCATCACGTAAGAAGCATTGTGAATATTTTGAGAGAAGTCTTGTGGAAATGTTTTTATATTTTACTTTTTTGCTTGGAAATAAATTTATAGTAAAGGTAGAATATAGTTGTTGTTTCATACTTTAGCTACCTGGCCATTTTATTGTTTGCACTGCATTTAAAATAGCTTACACATTTATAATTTGGCTTCAATATTCATAAATTGGATTTGGCTTATCACTCTGCATAAATCAAAAACTCAGGAATTCAGATGTGTACTTAAAATCTGACTTTTTAAAAAACTTAAGGCTTGATCCTTTCCAAGTGATCATTGATAAATATTAGTTGAATTTAACTGAACAGGATAATTCAGATCTTTGAAACTTTCCATTTCAGATAATATATTTTAAAGATTCCCAGCACACCTCAGCTAATATTTAATAGCCTGTGGGTTTTACAAAAAAAAAGAAAGACTATTTTGACTGCTTTTATGTTCAGCAAAGACATAATGCCCCCTTTATCCCTATACATGTTTAGTGGGGAACTATTGGCCAAAAATGCAGTAAAATGGAAATGCTCTGTTTGAATAACCACAGTACTTTGGCCAGAGTTCAGTCACATTTCAAATAAGGTAGAATGAATTGGAATTTATTTTTAGGTACGTTTTGTTTGTAAAACCTACCTCTGTATCTCTCAGGGTTCCATGCCAAATGAATGTGTGAGTGTATCTAAGCATGTTGCACAAAGACAGGACAATAGACCCCCAGCTGCTAAAACAAGGTCCTAGGTGAGGAAATCTGAAACTCAGAGAAGGAAGGAGAGGGGAACTGCTATCCAAGACTCTTAAGACACTGAGTTGTCCAAATTTAACATTGAAACAGGGATTGGAGACACAAAAGGCAGAAAGTTAGGGATAAACATAGAAAAAATAGAAACACAAAAATGGGGAGGCACCCTCGGATCTCAGAAAGGAGAGCTAAAAACCCAGGTCCTCAAAAAGATAGGCTGTAAGAATCCCCCACATGTTGGTTTGCTTTTGACACATTTAGGCATTGGCAGTGCCTCCTGTGGCACTTTTCTCCTAAGAACTATAAAGTGCTTTGGACTTAATGAAATAGTGACAGGTTATTTGCCAACTAACTTCTAAAATGAACTTCCTTTTACGTGCTTGCCAATAACTCATGACTAATGAATTTGTATTTTACTGTAACTGGGAAACCATTACTCAAAAGTTGTGGGTGTCAACTGGAGCAAACCTGTAAGGTAAATAGGAACGCTTCTATATTTCATGTTTTTTAGGGTCCATGTTCTACATACCCAGTATCTCTTTGTTTCTATCACCAGCAAATATCTTTGCGTATATATTTAAGATTCTCTAGCCCATTTCAGCTGCTGTTTATTATCTTTCAAGTGAAAAAAAGATGACTTTTATGTAAGGTAAGAGCTTTGGTGGTACAGTGGTTAAGTGCTCAGCTGCTAACTGAAACCTCAACTTTGAGGTGCCAGCTGTTCCACAGGAGAAAGATGTGGTGGTCTTCTTCCATAAAAATGTACAGCCTTGGAAACCCTACTCTGTCTTACAGGGTCACTATGGTCAGAAATGACTTGATAGCAATGTTTTTTGTTTTGTTTTGTTTTTCATTTATGTAATAGGATTTTATTGATTTTTTTTCCCCCCACAAAAAAGTCTTAGCACTCACGCATGCTGTTGTCCTTATTTCATAAATGAAAGGTTAGATGATGTATCCAAAGCCATTTTTTACATTTGCCCATTTCTAAGATTTGAAGCAGCTGAAAGTAGGTTAAACTCTGCTTCTTTCAAATGGAGAAGTAGTTGCTCCTAAGAGCGTACTCCTTCTACCTGGTGTGGTGCTGGGGAATAAGCGCACTGGATTGTTAACTTCATGATTGTCAGCTCAAACATACCTGCCACCCCTCAGACACACTCTTGAGGATTACTCATGAGTCGAAACAGATTTGATGGCATTTAACAACAGCTGGGATGTTTAATGGACATCCAAAGGAGGAGAATATTGAAGGTGCCATGGGCTGCCAAAAGAACCAATAGGTCTGTTTCGGAAGAAGTGCAGCCAGAGTGCTCCTTAGAGGCCAAGGTAGCCAAACTTCATCTCTCATACTTTGGATATATTGTCAGGAGGGAGCAGTCACTGGAGAAGGATATCATGTTTGGTAAGGTGGAGGGTCAGAGAAAAAGAGGAAGACCCCCAACAAGATGAATTGGCCAAGTGGCAGCATCAATGGGCTCAAGCGTGGCAACAGTAGTGAGGTTGGCTCAGGATTGTGCAGTGTTTCGCTCTGCTGTGCATAAGGTTGCTATGAGTCGGTATTGACTCGATGGCACCTAACAACAACAACAAAGTGTAACGTCTGCAAAACAGAACTCCTCCAAACCTACAAATTCTAGGGCTTTCCCTGTTTCAAATAAAGGCAACACCACCCTTCTAGTTATGTAGCTCCAAAACCTCAGAGCTATCTTGGCTCTTGTTTTCTCTCAGACCCTACGGCAAATCTCAACAACTCTACCTTCAAAATATATGCAGAATCTGGCCCCTTTTAACCGTGCTCTCCACTACTATCCTGCTCGAAGCCACCATCTCGCTCACATGTATTATCACATTAGTTCCCTGACTGGCCTGGCTTCAGACCTTGTTGCCCTCTCCATCCTCAGCTTTGTCTCAACAGAGCAGGCAGGCAATCCTCAGTCCACATCCCTCTAGAGATTACCATCTCCCTTTGAGTAAAAGCCAGGTTCTACACAACTGCCATGCCCTCCCGTTATGTCTCCTACTACTTCATCTCCTACTACTGTTTCCCTTGCTCGAGGGCTTCTGGTTGTTCTTTTCAAAGGCTGGGAACATTTTCTGCCTCAGACCCTTTGTACATCATCTATGTGGCTAACTCCCAGTTGTCCCCTTTGCAGAAAGACCATGGAGCAACTGTTTGTTTTTTAAAAACTGAACCTCTCTCTACTTCTCACCCCTTGTGCTTGCTTTATTTTTATCCTCAGCACTTACCTCTGTCTCATATAGTTTACTTACCTGTATTGTGTATTTTTCTCTACTCCCCTCTACTAGGTTGGAAGTTCTCAGAGCTTCATTGGAAGTTGGGACTAGTTTGTTTTGATTACTGAGGTATCCCTAAGCACCTAGAATGTTATCTGTCTTGTAATAGTCACTCAATACCTTTTAAATCAATGGATTTTCACATATTAGTAAGATCATGCTTAAGAAAGGCTTCGCACACGTACACCCACATACACCTCCCACCTTGTTAATAATAAATACTAGCTGATATCATTATAATGTATATTTTCTGTGGTTTTTAAATATAAAATGTATAACTCAGTTTATTGATGGCCAAGGGATAAAAGAAAATACAATACAGCAGCGCTCTCTTATGAAGAACAAGCTCTCTCTTCAGGGAAGACATCTGTCTTTTCCTGTCAGTGCTAAAAGCAGTGTGTTACTCAGTACTTGTTAAGGCAATTTGCTAACATAAGACGGATTGCCTTTGAGGATGACTTACGTAAAGCTCTTCCTACTACTACCCCCCAGTTGAATCTGCCATCCTCCCTCACCTGCACTATTGCATTAGCTTTCTATTTTTTCTATTGGTCATCCCTTAAATGAGAAAAGACCTGGCTATTTGCTCCCATAAAGATTACAGCTTAGGAAAGCCTGTGGAGCAGTTCTACTCTGTGCTATAGGGTCTTCATGAATCAGAATCAAAGACACATAACAAGAACCTAAGGGCAGGGAAGATGGTCTGCTGCTGGGAGGGGTCTTTATCTAGTGAATTAGAAGACAAGGACACGGATCCGTATCCTTTCTCTACTACAGACGTCATCTTGGTGGTCTGTTTATGTTTAAAAGGCATTGATTTTATCAAAGACTCATATAAAGAAGATGGTCATTTGTTTAAAGCTAAGCTGATTAGTATAATTGTACTATTTCAGCAATTATTGCTTTAAAAGACTTAGCAGAAAACGTAATTTGTTTATTGGTAGTTTTAGTCTTCAAAATGTGAATTGGGTATTTTTGGTGTCTCATTTTAGCTTAACCAATTAGAAAAATTCTCTTTTGGAGAGCCAATGCCTTATATTTTGAATGGAGTGACTTTAAAAAGAAAAAAAGGCAAGATTTTAACACATTCGTGCTGTTACTAGTAAATTTACTAATCCTACTGCCACCAAATCGATTCTGACCCTAGAAACCCTTTATAGGGCTTCCAAGACTGAAAGTTTATAGGAGCAGACAGCCTGAGTTTTCTCCCAAGGAACAGCAGTAGCTGGTGAGTTTGAACCACCAAACTGGAGTTTAGCAGCCCAACACCTAATCCACGTTGACACCAGATTTGGTAATGATATACCAGTTTATTTCAGGTATGTGTTTTTTTAAACCTAACTTCCATTGGAGGTTTGTGTTTCATCAGGATGCGTAGTCTTTAAACTGCTCACATACCTTATTTTTGTATATTTTTCAAGTACCTTTTTTAATTTTAATTTTTTTTAACTAGTTGATCAAAGATTTCTAGAGTTATATACTAACCATCAGTGGGTTGAAGCATACGAATGCCAGTGGGTAGTTGAAAATTTGATCTGAGAAGTAGTGTTGATCTAAGAGCCCATCTCTGTCTTTTAAAAACCGACATGTTCAGATGAGCTATTTGTCTTGGACCTTGTGTCTGACATGCATATTATGTCCTAAGACAAGTGAGGAGAATGAAGTGCTTCAAGCAAGACTGTAGTCCTTTCTGCGTTGCTTCCCTAAATGAAGGTTTGCATGACTGTGGGAAAATGTATCTAGCCCTTTACATGCTTTATTTTGAAGCTGAAGTGTGCCATTTATAGTAGGAACTTGATTGTTCCAGGAACGTTTTGTAAACATCTAGCTAGGTTAGAAGTTTGGGTTATGTAACAGAGACTTGACTCCTTGCCCACTGTTAATACACATAACTATGCGGACAGTCTCTCTACAGTTCTTAAAAGGCTGGAGTCACTTGAGGACATGAGTTCCCTCCTACATTATGGATAAGCAGAGGTGTACTTCCTGGAGCCAGAGATTGTCCTCATTGTGTTTAAGTGGCTCTGGGCTGCATAGCATACATTAATGGTGACCACCAATATCTGAACTTTTAAACATATTATTTTGGATGTGCTTGGCATTTGAAAATCTTTATTACTTACATACTGTGAAGTCCTGGTGTAGTACTGTAGGATAAGCACTGCAGCTCATAGTCTGTTTAAACTTCAAGGTTGGTGGTTCAAATTCACCAGCTGCTCCTTGGAAACCCTATACAGGGTTGTTATGAGTCAGAAATGACTCAATGGCACTTAACAACAACGAAACATAAGGTTCAATGATATGATTTGAGAGAAAGTTTTATTCTAGGAATTCAGCTTTTACAAATATAATACTAATTTGAGAAAGATAGCAAAAGTATCTAAAGTAGATAGCAATACATTCTCACATGTGTCTGAAATGCCAAATGGCTTATTTTTGTACCACTGTGAAAATTCACTGAAAATTCCATGGGCTTCATTTTGGCTTGTTCTATTAAGTGTTTGAAATCCTAGTGTGACGCTGCAGGTGAATGCACTGGATTGCAAGGTCAGTTTGAACTGCAAGGTCAGCAGTTCAAGCTCTCCACCTGCTCTTCAGAAACCCTATACAAGGTTGCTATGAGTTGGAACCAACTCTACAGCACTTAACAACAAGATAAACATCTGTGTTCGTTTATCCCAGCTAACCGTTGTCTCCTATGATCTTGTGGGCTAAAACAATGAATTTAGTATTTAGATGCCCTATGTTGGTTTTGTTTTTAAGTACCATTGAGTCAGTTGCAACCCTATATAGGGTTTCCAAGGAGTGACTGGTAAGCTTGAACCACTGACCTTGCAGTTCAAAGCAACTTTGCAGTCCAGCACATTAACCCACAGCTCCACACCAGGACTCTTAGATGGCCTATAAGTAAGCTTTTTTGTGTGTATGTGTGTGTGTAAAAGCTTTTATTGTGAATTGAGTGATAGTTTACATGGGAGAACATCGTTTTTACACTCATCCTATCATATTTCGTTTCACTGCAATGATTACAATCCCCTCCTTGCATCATCATTCAACAGTATTTGCTTATATTCCCTCTGTTTGTTTGTTTTTTTTTTATGTACACAAAAACACTCAGGAATATATAATCCTTTAAACAACAAAAGGGTACATTTGGCAAGCATGCCTCCTGGTCTCCAACACACAGCTTTTCCCTTTCCGTGAGTCCAGAGTCCTCACCTGCTCTATCTCTCCATGTCACAATCTGTGCCTCCATCTCTGGTGTCGCTGCTTCTCTGGGTAGGGTCCTACATTCCACTCATGCTCTTCTCCGTCTTAGGCTCCTTTGTTCCTAGACTGTAAGATTAACTACTTCCCCCCTTATGTTATAAAACTTCTACCTTTACAGTTGTGACGATCGCAATTAGTCATGATAACAATTACTTACCATTGAATCATAAGAATCTTACCTCCATTTCCTTTCATCAGACCTGTCTAGACAAAATGAAAATTATTCAGTGGGCATTCTGCCTTACCCCGCACACTCTTAAACTAAACTCTCTCTTGAAAACTTGTAAGCTAGTCACTTTGTGCCTTTATAGCTCTCCTCCTACCCCCCATTTTAGGTAGTCAGTGTCTACATTCCCTATCAACCCTATGTACAGAGGGGATAGGTTTGATCCTTGATGTGAAAACTCCTTCCTGCTCAGTTGGTAATTTGAGCTACTACATCCATTAAGTGTAGGTCAAGTTTATCATAGTAAGCTTTTTTAAAAGAATTTTTTTGAAATAAAATAACAAGAATATATTCCCTCTCTTTCTGTGGGTTGTCGCTTCACTTTTTTGGTGGTATTCTTTTAAGCACAGAACTTTTTAATTTTGATAAAGTCCCGAATATCTTTTTAAAATGTTGTCAATTTTGCTTTTAGTGGCATGTCTGAAAAACCATTGTCTAACCCCCAAACCATGATGATTTGCTCCTATGTTTTCTTCTAACAGTTTCATAGCTTTAGATTTTACATTTAGATCTGTGAGCCATTTTGACTTAATTTTTGTACATGATGCACAAAAATGTGATGTATAAGGTAAAGGTCCAACTTGAATGTAGTTATCCAGTTGTCCCAGCACCAGTGGTTGAAAAGACAGTTATATCCCCATTACATTGTCTTGGCACCCTTGTCAGTAATCAGTTGACCATAGATGTGAGAATTTATTGCTGGACTTTAAATACCATGTCATTAATCTCTGTGCCTGTCCTTCTGTCAGTACCACACTGTTTTGAATTCTGTGGCTTTGTAGTGAATTATGAAATGGGACATGCAAGTGCTCAACTTCATTCTTTTAAAAATTTTCTGGTTATTCTGAGTTCCTCACATTTTCATGTGAATTTTAGTATCAGCTTGTTAATTTCTACAAAACAGGCAACTTAGATTTTGATTGATTGTTTTAGTCTGTGCATCAATACGGGGAGCATTGCCATCGTAACTATATGAACTCTTCATAGCGCACTAGAAGTACAGTTGGTGTTTATATATACCTCTTAGATCTCACAACCTTGCTGAACTCATTTATTGATTCTTTAGTAGATTCCTTAGTGTTTTTTATATGTTAGATTAGGTTGTCTGCAAAAAGAGACAGCTTTACTTTTCAATCTAGTTACCTTTCATTTCTTCTTGACTAATTGCCAGACTGCCATATAGTGTTTAAAAACTTTCTATTATAATACAGAAGGTTTACAGAATATATCATCAATCCCACACTCAAGAAATTAGACATTTCGTGTGATTACAATGATTGCAGTCCACTTCATATACCATTAGTTAACAGTGTTTACCTCTATTCACTTTATTATTTTTCTCTCCTCCCCTGTTCTGCAACCATCCTATAACCATTATAGAAAGTTTCACTTAGCAAGAAAATATTTTCTTAACTTTTTACAACAGTTGAGTGATCTCATGCACTATTTGTCCTTTTGTGATTGACTAATTTCATTCAGCATAATGTACTCCAGGTTCATCCATGTTGTGAAGAGGTTTTACTGATTCTTTGCTATTCTTCAGCATTACATAATATTCCATTATGTATATGTCAAGCTGCCATTTTTAGGAAAGCTTTATAAATATATATATTCTTTATTTCAAGGAATTGAATATTTGATAAACCTCCAGAAATGAGAAAATAAACTAAGATGTAAAATTCATTTGTGCATTCAGGGAATCTAACACACGAAAAGTTCATAGTTATCTGAGGAAGGAGCATTTCTATTCTGCCCTGTTCTATATAGTGTTGGTATGAGTTGGAATCAACTTGATAGTAGTGGGTGGGTGAGTCTTTGTATCAGACCCTCTGCCAGAAAAGTTCATGCTTCTTTAATTGGATGTTAGTGTGTGGTCCAAACCCTGAAAACGGTGCTGCGGTGTGAATCAGGGGAAAGGCTCTAGAAAGCATGTCTAACTGATAACTTCTGGAGTACTTTTTTCACTGTATTAATGGAAGCAGTATTACAGCCTCTGTTTTATGTTTTGACGTGTAAAACCAGAAGCCAAGACCCACATAAAGTAGCAACCTGTCAGAGAAGGAAAGCATCAATTTTTTGCATTAATGAGAGAGGAGTAAACTAGTAAGAACTATTATACCCTGTCAAAGGAGGGAAACCTTTGAGACCTGAAAAAGCAAAAGATTGTCTTGGAAGTTCCAGCTCTCATGGGTTTCACTGTATTACAAACAGACCAAATGTCTGGGATCTCATATACATTTTATTCTATGAAGGTGCTAATGTAAAAGGTGACTCTTCAGTTTACACAGGCTTTGCCTAAGGGATTAGACTGATACATCTTTTCTTATTATTCAGGTCAATCTTGGAGAAGGAGGGACCAAAGTCACTTTTTAGAGCATTGGGTCCAATTTTGGTTGGAGTTGCACCATCAAGGTAAGCATTATATTCTTCAGCCAGCTTACTTCGCATTCTATAAAATGCCAAGTTCTGTTAAGGATGATACTGCTATAAGCAGTTAGTTTCTTTTCTCTGTTAGATTTGCCTAAATGCATCCACATCCAACATCTAGAAATGATCAGTAATGTCTGTGTGTGTGTGTGTGTGTGTGTGTTGTACTGGTGTGTGTGATAGAGATTGTGGTTATTTTGTTCTTAAATACAAAATTAACTTGCTGTCACCACTTGTAATCTAAGCTTTGTTCCTCAAAATGTGCTCCCCTGATGATTCATAGGCACATTGAAGCATTGAACGAAAGGAATTGTAAAGACTCCTAGGTTTCTCCAGATATAAAACATGCTCATTTTTGTTACCAGTTTTAATTCTCTTCAAAGCTGGATAGAATGTTTACAAGGGTGAGTCAGAAATTACCCACAGTCTGATTATATTAAAAAAACCATCCACATCCAGGACTAATGATAACATTGAGTATTTTCGAGAAATGATTCCGTTGAATAGCAGAATGACAGTGATGGTGGGTTATGTGGTAAATCATTTGCTAATCAGCCATGGCCCTGCCTGTGAAATCATCCACAGCAGACTTGGGTTTTGAAAAATTAGGCAGGAGTAAGCACTGAAACAGCTCACGGAAGAGCATTAACGGAAGCGTTTGGACAGTTGCAAGTAAAATGAGGACCAGGACTCAAAGGAAGGCAAAAGTGTCTATTTAAAAATTGTTACTGGTGACAAGACATGGATTTATCAGTATGAGCTTGAGAGTAAACAGCAAAGTATAGAATAGAAACAACCTCAGTCGCTGACTAAGAAAACGTTCGGAAGTCGGCCATCAGCTGAAAGATTGGTGCTTAACAGTTTTCTGGGACTCTCAAAGGCCAGTACTAGAACACTGTCAGGAAAAGGGTTCAACATTCAGCAGTGCTCCTTACAATGAGATGCTCACTGAAGAGCTGAAGCCTAAATGTAGAATTAAGCGCACAGAACTGCTCTCCAAGGGTGTTGGGTCCACAGACCTCTGCCCACACTGTTAACACTCTGCAGAAACTTTGTTTTGAGGTATTAAGCATCTTCCCTATACTCTTGATCTTGGTCCATCAGACTTTCACCTGTTTGGTCCCCTGGAAGCCCTTCGAGCATGAAGATTGACCTCAGATGAAGTGAAGACAGCGGTGCATTTATAGATTTCAGCTCAGCCTAAAACATTTTTTTTTTTTAACAAGGAAATACGAAAGCTGTCAATAGATGGACAAAGTATATTGAAAAGCAAGGAGGTTATGCTGAAAAATGATGTATTTGTCTTTTCTAAAAGATAATTAAAATAAATTTTACAGCCGAAGTGTGGATAATTATTAACTTGGTCTCGTAGAACTGTACTGTGACACAGAAGCCACTGCCCATGTGGGACTGTTATTACATTTCAATTCAAATAAAAAATTCAGTTCCTCAGTCTCACTAGTTAAATTTCAGTTGCTCATCCTAATGTCTGTTGTATTGAATCACATAGAGAGCATTTCTGCCTACTCAGAAAGTTCTACAAGACAATGTTGATACAGAGGCAAATGTGTGAGAGCAAGTGACTGTGTATGTAGACTATCTCTGGAAAGGTAGATAAGAAACTGGTACTAGATATCACCTCCTGAGAGAGGAACTGTGGGACTGGGTGGCTTATTTATACATACACACACATACAGAATGAGCTCTTGGGGAGCATAGTGAGTTACAAGTTGGACTTCTCACCGCGAGGTCAGCAGTTCAAATCTACCAGGTGCTCTGTTGGAGAAAGGTGAGACTTTATGCTCCTGTAAAGATTTACAGTCTCAGAAACCCCATACAGGGTTGCAGTGAGTCAGAACCAACTCCATGGCACATAACCACCATCACAGGTACATATATGCGTATATACCCACCTGTGTGCCTGCTCCATGTAATAGTCAAATACACTTTAAAGAGAATTAAGCCTAATGGTAACGAGAATGTAGCTTTACTTAAAGTGAAAACCAAAGCTTCTAGAATTTCTCCACATCAGGAATGCCCCCATGTGTATACGAATCACCTGACAATGTTATAAAATGCAAATTTCATATCAAATCCTTTTGTTCTTTAGAATTTAGCATTTGTGCACAGTCTATTTAAAAATAGACAGTATTAGTCTGGGAGATAATATGGGGTGTAGCATTATTGGTAAAGGGTAAACATTCCATGTATGTGGTAAATAAAATAAGTGCCTTATCTACATGTGTGTGTTTGACAATGCTAATATTGTAATACTTGAGAACAGTGGGGGGAAAAGGAAGAAGATTTTAGCACAAAACAATAAGTGGTCAAGATCCTGAGTTGAAAAATATGTTTCCTTGATCCATTGGCCAGCATAGACAATCCCAACCAGCCCCTACTCTCAGCCCAGCAGAGGGGATTTTGGGGAAAAGCAGACAAAAAGAAAAGAATATGGAGTGGGGAGGTGAACTCCAACACTAATTACAGTGGTCACCCTACAGGTTTTGGGGAACATATTCATTAGAGGGGCAAACAGAAGCTCTTTATGAAAACAGGTTGTGAGTCATCAAAAGAGCTCATGTTATATATGATGTGCTCATTTTAGTGTGTCCGTTAAGTACCATGGAGTCGGTTCCGACTCATAGTGACCCTGCACAGGATTTCTGAGGCTGTAAATCTTTACGGGAGCAGAAAGCCTTATCTTTCTCCCATGGAACGACTGGTAGTTTTGAACTGCTGACCTTGAGGTTAGCAGCCCGAGTGGGTAACCACTACGCTACCAGAGCTCCTTCATTTTAGTGTAAGACAGAACAAATATGGTATATTTTTTAAATGTGACACATTTTTTAAGTTATAATATGTTGGTGCATAAAAGATTAAATAAATGGTAATTCAGAATGAATGATGGAAAGGGACTTTGTGTGTATGTTTTAAAACGTAATTTTTCCCAATTATTTTGGATATCTTTGTTAACACTAATTAATTTCTAGAGTGGCAATGACTTCCTGAAAGAGTGTGTAACAGTCTTGGGTTTTAAAAAGATACTAGGAGAAGATTTGGGTTACATATTAACTTCTTTCCCATATTAGTTTCCCACATTTTCCAGGTGTAGTGGAGGAGACTATATATGAATGTATGTATACATGTATGTGTGTGTGTGTATATATGTGTGTTATATGGTGTTGTAACAATTTATTTACAGTGTGCTTTCTTTGTTCTATCAGGGCTGTGTACTTTGCATGTTACTCCAAAGCCAAAGAGCAGTTTAATGGCATTTTCGTGCCTAATAGCAACATTGTACATATTTTCTCGGCTGGCTCTGCAGGTACGTTACCCTAGGGGATAAGAGTTTTTCACTTTCCTTAAAGCATGTGTTGTGCCAAACAGCTTTTTCTAGGAATTAAAAATTAGTTCCCTGGTTCTTTTACACCTGAAATTATTTGAACTGATCAAATATAAGTGTTTGTGGACAGCTTGTAACCTGGCTGCAATTGTTTTGACCACCGAAGATTTTTATTCTCCCTAAAACTGTAAATTTTTTGCATGCAACTTTATAGTGTTATGGGTTTTTTTTAAGGGAATACAAAAAAAAAACAAAAACGTAACACTAACAAGTTGCATGCAAAAAATTTACAGTTTTAGGGAGAATAAAAAGCTTTGGTGGTCAAAACAATTGCAGCCAGGTTACAAGCTGTCCACAAACACTTGTGTTTGATATATAGAGAGTCCTGGTGTGGCGCTGTGGGCTAATGCGTCAGATTGCAAAGTCGTTTGAACTGCAAGGTCAGTGGTTCAAGCTCACCAGCTGCTCCTTGGAAACTTTATACAGGGTCACTATGGGTCGGAATCAACTGGACGGCACTTAACAACAACAATATATACATATATGTATATATGATTTTCATTCTATTTCCCCATTAAGTGATTTCCTAAAGTCACAGTGTTCAACTTAATCCTGTGCGCAGCTGGTATTTCTGGCCTTCACACCTGGACTACGTAATGGGGCTGTGGTTGATCTTTTTCAGTAGGGTCAGCGACGGATCAGGTAGCTTCTGTTGTCTTTTGGTGGAGTCATTTCATTTTTGTCTCCAGGAAGTTCTTGGCAAAAAAAATTTTACATGTATACAGTTCTAGGGTAAAAGCTTCATATATCTTTTTATATATCCTTTTGTGTCTGTTTAAATATAAAGGTATGTTTGAGAACTTAAATTGGCATTGCATGAAAAATCTAGGCCTTTTGCCAACGTGTATGGTGTGCTCTTATTTTGTCTGCCTTTGTTATTCCAAACAAAAGCACCAGCAACCAGTCTGGATGTTTATAGATAATAGTGTCTGACTCTACATAAACAATAATATTAAACAAATTTGCTTCACACAAGACAGGCATTTCTACTTTGTACGACGGAAGTACAGAGCTTCAAAACAAGACTATTTATTTATACTTAACATGGGCTAGTAGTGAGTTAGCTATAGCTGAAAAATGGCCATTGGGTATGTAACTTTTACAGAAATAACTTAGAAGAACCCTTGGTAAATAAGCTGATCTGAAGGGAGTTTTTAAGCCTCTAACTTCCCAATGCAGTGGGCTCAAGTATAGCAGCAATTGTGCGGCTGGAGCAGGACCAAGCGGTATTTCATTCTGTTGTGCATAGGTCGCTACAGGTTGGAACCAACTAGATGGCACCTAACAAACAAAATGAAATCTTCCTAGTATCTAATCAGTCTCCTTACTCAGGACTGTGGAGGGCCTGGTGTATCCAGGCAGTCAGATCAGTACCACAGCCTTCCTTTTTCTTGTTTGTTTGAAATGGTTGATGGTGTTAAGATGGAGAAGAAGACTGACTTTAACAATAACAAAAGAGTGGTGCCTGTGAGCAGGACAGTCCTAAAACTCCAATTGTCTGTAGTGATTAACCAAGTCTTACAGTTTCTAGGTTTGATTCAGGCAAATAGAGATTTAGTTCCTTCTCCTCCTAGTTAGATGAAGGGTAAACTTTTTATCTTTTCACGACAAAGTATTTCTGGGCCTAAAGTTCATAAATTGAGTTTTAGGATCTTGTCATAGTTATTACCCCAGAAGTCTCTTGAACAGAAATACCAACAGCACCACCTAGAGGTCGGAAAGATGAGACAGGGGCTCAAAAGAGCTAAAGAGATTTCTTTTGGGTACAACATACCAGTTGCTGTTAAGTGTTATCCAGTCGGTTCCGACTCAGAGCAACCCTGTATAGGGTTTCCAAGAAGCGGCTGGTGAGTTTGAATCAATAGGTGTTACATTTTAGAAAGTATAGCTTCCACCTACTGTATAGGTTGTAACTGCTTCCTAATACTCATTTTAATTAAGTCATTGAAATCCTGATTTCTTAGTTTATCATGTGATGTATACAACTTTAGTAAGCACTGATCATGGTTAGTGATGACTTATTCTGTGTTTTTTTTCTTCCAGCTTTTGTCACAAATTCTTTAATGAACCCTATATGGATGGTTAAAACCAGGATGCAGCTAGAACGGAAGTAAGCTATTAACTTTCTCTGTTGCTTTCCTTGATGTAGGAGAACTTGTTGGTGGGAGTTGTCTTCTTCTCCCAGTTGCAGCTTTGGAGTGAGGCAAGCACAGTCCTCAGCCATCCCCCTTCTTGTTTTTTCTAAATATGAGCAGAGGTAGAAGGTCCTTTTGTTCTGAGATTAGCACAACCAACTATAGTGGGGAAACAAGAGCCAGCTGCTGATTCTGCCTAGGAATGACTATGCTCTGGGCATTTTAACACTTGCATCCAGTGGGCACTGCTAGCATGTCCCTCAGCTGTATTTGTCACATGCTTCTTATGCACTGGTCACTAGGAAACCAGGAGGGAAGAAGACTTCCATGTCTCCAGGACTTCAGCTCAGTGTGGTCTACAGTCAAGAAAATGAATATAGCCTGGTGTAATCAGGGACCCAAGATGCTACAGGAACATGAGGGCTATCTGATACAGTCCAGGCCTAGTGGAGATAGGAAGGGAGTTAGGGAAGTGTCCTGAGATGGCCACATCCCTGCTGCCATCTTAAGAATCGTCAGGATACTGTCAGTAAGTTGTGCACCTGAAGAAAGTTGAATTGGTAAACGTTGTATGGTAAATATATGAATATTGACAATAATGACATAAAAGAAAAGAGGTGGTTGCTTATGGAATTTTGTTCCTTGGTTTGGAGGTGGTGGTGTAGTGCTATAGGGTAAGCACTGAACTGTTAACCACAGGGTCGGTGGTTCAGATCCACCAGGTGCTCCTTGAAATCCCTATACAGGGTCACTGTGAGTCGAATGACAATAACAACAACTGGTTTTATGGTATTGTTGTCAAATGCCATCGAGTCGATTCCAACCCATAGCGACCCTGTATAGGGTTTCCAAGGAGCTTCTGGTGAGCTTGAACCGCCAACCTTGCAGTTCAAATGGCTTTGCAGTCTGGCGCATTAACCCACAGTGCCACATCAGGTTTTATGATACATACCAGTTAATTGGCCCAATAACATGTTTAGTGTATCTATACTGTCGACTAGTTCGTTATGTTGTACCTAGGGTCTTGAAAGCTTTGTAAGCCACCAACCAAGGTAGAACAATTCTACATTGTCTCTGTGGTGTCTATTGGCTGGGAACAACAGAGGAAGACGGAGAGTCAAGAATAGGAAGAGGAAATTGAATGTGGGACTGTCTCCATTGCCATGAGACCTGAAAAACTTGGGGTGCCCACCTACCATTATTGACCGTTTTGATCAAAGATTCTATAGAAGAATCCTATCAGTGGGAGAAATGCAGAACAGAACTTAAAATTCTTGTAGAATCCAGATTTCTGGAGTTTAAAAATATTAGATAGGAAATGGGGGGAGGGGGATTTATAAGGCATAAGGCAGTGAATTTGTTAATAGGGAGGAGGAACAACTCAGAAAAGGAGGGGGAGAATTGTTGCACAACTTGGAGAATGTAGTCAGTGTCACCAAATTATACATGTAGAAATGATTTAACTGTGCTCCGCTGTATGTAATCTCAACTGCAACAAAAATAAAATACTTTGAAAAATAGTTTTCAAAACAATTTTAAAATAAAAGGTATGCCCATTAGAAAAAGTTTTAAAAAAAATAATAAAAAGCTGGGGAGGGGGTGACACTGAAGGGTATTTTAGGCAGAAGAACTGTATGGAAACATTCATGAAGCAAGATCGAATGAGTAACTCTGGGGAACTGAAAGAAGGGTAGTGTGATTGGATTGCATACACTGTATACATGTGTATGTGCTGGCAAAGGAGGGGACTATAGAAGGAGAAACTGGAAAACACAAGCAGAGATCAGATCCTTAAAAGGCCCTGGGATGGAGTTCAGAGACTAGGCTCGGACTTTACTTGGAAGGTAGTGAAAAGCCATTAGAGCAGTGGTTCTTATTGGAGGGAGGGATTTTATCCCCAGGAAACATCTGGCAATGTCTGCAGATAATTTGAGGTATCCAAATTTAGGAGTGGAGTCTTGGTGTTTTGCTACACATCTCAAGGTTGATTTGAATTATAAGGTCAGTGGTTCAAACTCACCAGCTACTTCTTGGAAACCCTATGCTGAGTTGCTGTGAGTCGGAACCAACTTGATGGCACTTAATAACAAATTGGAGGAGGGGAGAGGGATGCTACTGGCATCTAATAAGATGAAACCAGGAATACTGCTATGCATCCTGCTACACACAGGCTGGCCCTCACAACAGAGAATTATCTAGCCCTGAATGTCAACAGTCCTGGTGTAGCGCTGTAGGATAAGCACTGGACTACTAACTAAAAGATTGGTGGTTCAAACCCACCAGCCACTCCTTGGAAACTATCCTGTACATGGTCAGTAGAGTTGGAACCAACTCAGCAGCACTTAACAACAACTGTCAACGGTGCCGAGGAAGTGGAACCCTGCACTGAGGATTCCAAGCAGGGGGATGACCTGGGTGGGTCTGTTAGAAAGGTCACCTCAGCTGGGCTTTGGAGAATGGCCTCTGGAGAGTCAGGGAGACTCAGAGAGGCAGACTAAAGCGGGAAAGGCACCTTGGGCTCTACCTTCACAGGAGGGTTGTTTAGCGTGGGAATGATGTAAACACGGTGACGTCCCTAGAGTTATGCATTCAGCTTGGCAGCAGGCAGTTATAGATAGGAACTACCCATTTTCACATTTTATTAGTTATTTTATAATCTACTTGATATTTCTAACTATCATAAAGTCAAAGGGAGCTCTGGTAGTGGTTACGAATCGGGCAGCGAACCTTAAGGTCAACGGTTCGAAACTACCAGCCGCTCCGCGGGAGAAAGATGAGGCGTTCTGCTCCCATAAAGATTTACACCCTCAGAAACCCTGTACAGGGTCGCTATGGGTCGGAACCGACTCGAAGGCACTTAACAACAACAACATCATAAAGTCAAGAAATAATAGTCTCAAAATATAGAGACTAGAGAAATTAGAGTACCAATATATTCACCACCCTGTCAAAATTTAGGTGTTTTCCTGTCAGAATTATGATCATTCTTCATGTATAATTTTGTCCTGCTTTTCTGCTTGTATCTTAATACTGACTAATACTGAGTATTTTCCTATATCTTCTGACTCATAATCATTTAAATCTAGTATGTTTACAGTAGTTCACTTACTACTTTTTAGCTATTCTGATTATTTTGATTATTTGTGAGTATCACAGTTACATTTCCTCTGTACTAGTGTCTTTCCAAAATGAAGTCAAAGGCTGTGGTTATTTTCCATGACTCTCGATGCAGATGCATATAACATCCTATGGGCCTGCCACTGTCCAGCTAATGGGCCTGGCCTCAGTGGGGTCAGCATGACCACAGTGCCAGAAAGACACAGGTCACCTGCTGTTGTTGTCGTGTTGTTAAGTGCCATTGAGTTGGTTCTGACTCGTATAGGATTTCCAAGGATTAGCACCAATCTTGCAGTTCCAATAGACTTTGTGGTCTAGTGCTTATCCTACAGCGCCACACCAGGATTCCACACCTGCTATAGACCTTGTATTTACATTCATGGGCCACAGCTCACTGCACTTGTTCTGACGGCTCTGTCATTGGTCTTCTTGTACAGAGTGAGAGGCTCCAAGCAGATGAATACACTCCAGTGTGCGCGCTATGTTTACCAGACAGAAGGTATCCGCGGCTTCTATAGGGGATTAACAGCCTCATATGCTGGAATCTCAGAAACGATCATCTGTTTTGCTATTTATGAAAGTTTAAAGAAGTATCTGAAAGAAGCTCCATTCGCCTCTTCTACAAATGGGACTGAGAAAAATTCCACAAATTTTTTTGGACTTATGGCAGCTGCTGCTATTTCTAAGGGGTGTGCCTCCTGTATTGCCTATCCGCATGGTACGTTACACAGTCCCACAACTGTCAGGTGTCTGTCTGTTGTCAGCATCTCTGAACTTCTATAGCCCAGGTGGGGCACAGAGGCCTGCAGGTCAGGTCATTGGGGGCCCCCACATCCTTTGTGAGTGGTGGGAACTTGACTCCAGGTGATTGTGTCCAAAACTGTTGCCCTGCAGAAATGTGTCCCTGTGATGCTTGAGATGCTGAGGTTTTGAAAGAAGCCAAAAATCAGGATTTCATCTAAAATTCCTTGGTTTTAAGAGACATGGAAACCAAGTTTAAAAAAACAAAAACAAAAAAAACCTCTCATCTTTCACTCTTTGAATGGAGTGCTGGGGAACACTCCTTTGGGTAAATTTATTTTTGAAGGAATTATAGAACTTGATGTGCTATTGGTCTATTTACTAACAAAGTAGAGCTTAGTGTACTATGTCTTGAAAAACACATTTTGTTTTCAAGAACCTATGCATGGTTGACTCTGACAGATGTACATGGTCATGGTCAGTTCAGCCAACAGGCCTTGACCCCCATGACAAGCTTTAAGCCCCATTGGCACTGAGCAGGTCCCCACAGGGTTTACAGAGACCAGGCCAGGGGCATCATATGGTTGAGAGACAGGTGTGTGCCCACCGAGGCATATACCACACGCAGGAAGAAGTGAGCAGTGTGCTGTGGCGCAAAGGTCTGAAACGGAGGTGGCTTTGAAGCTGAGCCAGATTCTAATAGGAAAAAGATTGGGAAAAGTGAAAAGAATATCTTGTTGAAGATACTTACAAATTACCCCTTCAGTGAAATTATAGTATTTGCTTAATTTCTCAGTATGTGCCTACTTACTTGTTGATGGGGACTGTCTGGTCAATTTCATAAGATTTTCTAGGCTATAATCTTTATGGGAGCAAGTTGCCAGGTCTTTCCTCCTGTGGAGCTGTTGAGTAGGTTCGAACCATCAGCCTTCAAATAAACAGCCAAGCCTTTAACCTTTATGTTACCAAATCTCCTTAATTTGGAGAAACTATTTTAAATTAAGTCCCATTCAAACTATACTTTTAATTCCTTACGTAATTTTGCATTTGTACATATATGTAAGTGGTATCCATAACTGATCAATTCCTAGAGTTAGAAAATGTTCTAAAAAGAACTGAACTTTGTGTCATATCTCTGTGTTTGTGACTGTCTGGCAAGTGGACATAGCTGTGCACTGACAAACTATGTGACAAAGCTGTATGGTTGCTGATTTCCCTTGTTGCCTGGAAGTAAAGTATATTTGTAGCATCAGAAGTGTGTTTCTCTCTTTGCAGAAGTCATAAGGACACGACTACGTGAGGAGGGCACCAAGTACAAGTCTTTCATCCAGACGGCACGCCTGGTGTTCCGGGAAGAAGGTTACCTGGCCTTCTATAGAGGACTTTTTGCGCAGCTTATCAGGCAGATACCAAATACTGCCATTGTGCTGTCTACCTATGAGTTAATTGTGTACCTGTTAGAAGACCATGTTCAGTAACAGACCAGAAAATTGTGCTCTAGAAGAATAAAACTGAGAAACTCTAGAGAATTTTTTTTTTCCCATTGATGTTTAGAATGTTTGAGACTGAAACAGGAAAGGCCATAAAAGAACTGGCTCATATCACCTGTTGGACATTTCCTTTTGGATTCATGCTTTCTGGAAGGTTCTAATTCATTAACGTTAAGAGTTAATTATAACTTTTTTTGTTTGTTTGTTTTTTAACTTAAAAGAATTGAGGATTAAGCAGCAACTAAATTAAATCATGCTATTTAATTTAAGTATAAATTTGGTTTGTGTTCTCTTTTATGATCATTGTACTGTAAAAGCTAAGGACTTCAGTATTTCAGGCAACATGCAGATAAAAACTATAAAGTCTGACTCGTTTTCTAATCTGACTTTAAGACCTTGTACCGCTGGATGAGTAAGAAGTGTCAACTTAGGTGGTACTATGTGAACCCTACAGACTTCTAAGCTATTTTTCATTGTATATTTCAGATTCTTTTTTTAAACAGTGCTAGAGAGTTATTAGCTGATCATACAGTTTGTGAATTGGACAATGCACAGTATGAGACTGGATGTAGTACCTGAGATGAGCAGATAGGGGTTTTATAGTTTGAGAAACAAAGCAAGTCCAGGAAATTCAAGCAGTTTCGATGAGTCTTTCAGATATTCATCAAAATGTCATTGAGGAAATGTCTTCCTCAGAACTGTGTTTAGCTAAGAAGATAATTGTTGAAAGTCCGAGGGGTCAGTGCTTGCATGTCTGGGATTACTTCTAAACTTAAAGAGATAAAACTAACTGTTACCTTTAAGATTTAGGTTTACTCAATATCTTTTTTTTTTCTTTTGACTTTTTATTGTGAGTTGGGTGAAGATTAACAGAGATCAATTTTCCATTTAACTATCAGGCACATTTTATTTCATGTCATTGACTACAGCCACTATGTATATATTTCAGATTCTTAAAAGGTCAGCAGTTGGAATATGTCTACCAATCTGAGGGAGAAAGTTGAGGCTTTCTGCCCCCATAAAGATTTACAGACTGAAAACTCTATGCAGAATCACTATGAGTCAGAACCGACTCTACAGCACATAACCACCACCACCATTATAGCCTAAACCTTCAGGCTGCTGAGATGTACAAATGAGTATAATTTTCTGACACTAATTTATAAACATGTTCCTGAAGTTGCCCTTTTATCCCCCATTTGAACCAAAGGATTTTAAAAGATGGTCAATTTCTTGATTGCCTAGCTCCTAAGTAGATTTCCAGAAGTTAGGGGATTTCATTACACCTTGGTACCTTCTAAATATGTTATAGAACAGCATCCAAATCAGCAGTGAATGTAGAATATGATAAATAGTAAGCTATCTAAGGTCTTTGCCCGTTCTTGGATCTCTGCTACCAGAGAAAAAGAGCGCCACACAGGCCTGACTGCCCAGCCCTGGCTAGTTCATGTTTTTCTCTAACAGAAGGCGCTTGATGGTATTTAAATATCCTCGTTTAAAGTAAAACATTTAAATACTAGAAATGTGAAATTACCAGAACTGCTTTCATGGAAATGCATTAGGGGATGGGGGAGAATAATAAGACAAGGCAGATAATCTTCCCTTCTTTCACAGGCATTTGAATGTAGTATACATTAAGGTTATTTTTCAATCAATGTATAGAAAGATACTTGATTCTAATATGTAAGCATTGTAGTTCCAGATTCATCTCTAGATACTTGATAAGGAATGAGAGGAAGACGTTTTCAAATTACATTAGAGTTTAATTTTGTTCACCTTTATCGTCATAAAAGAGGTTTGTCTATGTTTTTGCACCTTCTAGCATAACTGTCTTCTACAACTATATAGAAGTCAAAATGAGTGCTTTAGTCAAGCTTTGGTACTTCTAAAATACATGATAGCAAAGTATTGCAACTTTAAAAGCTCAATTTGAACTCTCTGCTAAGTGGCACATAGCACCATCCTCCTTTTTTTAATATTCAAATTAGAACCTGATTTTTTTCCTCAAGTGTTTATCCATTAGCAAGGTTAAAAGTTAGGTATGGTTCAAATGGCTAAGCGCACTTGGTTATTAGCCAAAAAGATGGAGGTTCAAAGCTACCCATAGGCACGTTGAAAGACAGACCCAGCAAATCAGCTTCTGAAAGGCTGAAGCTGTGAAAACTCGATAGACTAATTGTCCTCTGCATGCCTGGGGTCCCTGTGAGCTGGAATAGACTCAGTGGCAACTAACAGTAACACTTGTTCATTTATTCATTATGAAGATTATTTAGAAATAATTTCCATTTATACATTCTTGAATTAATAATTTAATATTGATTAGTATAATTTAGGTCTCTGTTTGCTTCTGCATGAGGTATTGAGATGAAATTTCAGCACCAAAAGTGGGGAAAGAACAAATAAGACATGTTCCCTCTATTAAGAGGTTTGTTGGATTTTAAAACAGGGGTATTTTTTATTTTTTGTTTAAGTTTTTATTGTGAGCTGAATGATAGTTTACATGGGAAGACATCAGCTTTACACCATCGTTTAATTGCAGTGATTACGATCTCTGTGCATCATCATTCAACAGTATTTGCTTCCATTCCCTCTTTTTTCGTCGGGGGACGTGGGATGTACACAAGGCAAGCCTGCCTCCTGGCTGCCATCACCCAGTTCCTCTCTTTCCATGAGTCTAGAGTTCAGCTGTTCCCTCTCTCCATGTCCTCATCTCTGGTGTCGCTGCTTCTGTGGATAAAGTCCCACATTCTGCTTGTGCTCTTCTCCCTTGATGGGACCATCAGGTGTCCTCTGTTCCTGTATTGCAAGATTAACTACTCCCCCGTTTTTGTTACAAAACTTAATACCTTACAGTTGTGACAGTCCCAGTTAGTCATGATAGCAATTACTCACTACTGAGTCCTCAGAATCTTATCCCCATCTCTTTTCACTAGACCCCATCTAAACAAGATGAAAACTATTCAGTGGGGACTCTTCCTTCCCCACACACTATTAAACTGAACTCACTCTTGAAAACTTGTAAGCCAGCCACTTCATGCCTCTGTAACCCCCTCATTTTAGGTAGCCAATGTCAAAGTTGCCCATCCCTATCTACCCTATATACAGAGGGGATAGGATTGATACTTGTTGATGTGAAGAGTCCTTCCCTGTCAGTTGGTATTTTGAACTACTACATCCATAAATATAGGTCAAGTTTATCAAACTGTAGCAATTTACACTCATTTCCTTTGTCAAACGTTTTTTATCTTCATCTAGTCAAGTTCTGATTATCAAGCCATCCAAGCTAGGTCAAATGAGTACTATTTTCAAGTTTGGGCATTCTTGTGCTATATCTCCCCTCAGTTCATTATCAGCTGGATGCTTCACTCAGCTCTAGTCGTCCATGGTTATGTCCTTGTCCATGTACTCCGGATTCCTCAGGTTTCACCACACTTAGGGCCAACCAATCCTTCCTCTTCTCTCATCTCCAGGTCAACGGGAGTCTATCTATGGAACATCATTGAACTCAGCCCATTTCTTCATTGCTGACTTTTCCCCTCTTCCACTCACCAGTAGACCAATGTGGTCGCTCTCAAGCTTGCATGCCTGCTCATATGTTCTCTTTGAGTTTCGGTCTTGGAGGGGCGTTTGTCTTTAAGGGACTTGATTGCTTGCCTTGCTGTTGTTGCTAGGTGCCATCGAGTTGGTACCAGCTCACAAGCGACCCTATTTACAACAGAACAAAACATTGCCAGTCCTGGGCCAACCTCAATTGTTGCCACACTTGAGCCCACTGATGCTGCCACTTTGCCAATCCATCTTTCTGGGGGTCTTCCTCTTTTTCTCTGACCCTCCACCTTACCAAACATGATATCCTTCTCCAGTGACTGCTCCCTCCTGACAATATGTCCCAAGTATAAGATACAGAGTTTGGCTATCCTGGCTTCCAAAGAGCACTGGGGCTGCACTTCTTCCAAAACAGATCTATTGGTTCTTTTGGCAGTCCATGGCACTTTCAATATTCTCCAACACCATAACTCAAATATGTCAATGCTACGGTCTTTCTTATTCACTGTACAGCTTTCACATGCATATGACATTATTGAAAATCTTTTTATTTTTTTTTTATACTGAAAAAATATT